GACGTTGCTCTCCATCCCTTCTGCTCTACATTTCCAAAATATCAGTTAACCCAATCTTTGTCTTAGAGTGGATTCTCCATCTCTTCAATGGCTAATCTTCCTTTATTTATTTTTCAGATGTCAATTTGCTCTCACTCCACATCAGAGACACAACTGTGTTCTAAGTGTACACAGTGCTGATTCACATGGTGATTAAACACAGTTTGATGAGTTGCTGCTAAAATAAACTTGGAGATTGTTTCCCCACAGTCACTCATACCTGGTGGGCAGTTTCTCTTGACCAGTGGCATTTCACTCTGAACAGGCATATCATCACTAGCTAGCTGTACTCTGAGAACTTTACATGAATGTAAGGATGATTTGTGCCATGCTTAACTCTATCTATTGGTCTCATAAACAGCCACTAGGAGAGTTGTCAATTTTAAAAATTCAGGAGAGTTCTCATAGCCTCTTTGCTTTACTGGTTTGTTTCAAAAGGGTTACTTTAAATGGCTTGGCAATCCTTGGCCTTCTTTTCCAGATTTGTGCATATCCAGTGGTAGCAACCTCTAATGTGGAAGGTGATGCCCCCATACGCTGCTCTTTTTTTTTTTTTTTGTACTGGAGTTTGAACTCAGGGCCTACACCTTGAACCACTCCACCAGCCCTGTTTTGTGTTGGGTATTTTCAAGATAGGGTCCCATGCCCAGGCTGGCTTTGAACTGTGATTGTCTTGTTCTCTGCCTCCTGAGTAGCTAGGATTATAGGTGTGAGCCACCAGCACCCCACTTGCTCTGTTTACTGTGTTTACTGGTTGCAAGCCAGAGTCCTCACTAGACATCAAATTTGCTGATAACTTGGCTATGAACTTTTATCCTCCAGAATAGTGGTATTTTGTGATGGCCACCAAGCAATACACATTGATAAAACTCAAGGTCTACCAGAAGTAAATGGTGTCTCCAAACTCCGTCCCTATGGCTATTCTTCAGTTAAGTACTCAACTTTTCGCTGGACATCTACTGTCACTTCATAGTCACTATAACTGTGTTCATCAGCCCTCTCCAATATTCTGACATTGAGTGGGAGAGTTCATTTTAAAACACAATGATTAGAGCACATGTTTTTGCTCTGAAATAATAAAGACCTGATTACTGTTAGCAAAGTAGCTCCAAACATTCTAGAATGGTGCACCATTGCTTATTTCTTGTTATTGCCATCCACATTTCCAGAACACTGGCAGAATCCTATGAAGGGTTCCCTATAGCAATTTTTTATATGCCTCTATGTTCTTATTCTAATACTTCTTTTGATTTCTCCCAAGGTATGTGTCGAACAGCTAGCTTATTTTTTTCCTAACTTTTTTTTTTTTTTTGGTGATATTTGGGATTGAACTCAGGGCATGCCAGGCAGGCTCTAGCAGTTGGGCCATGCCCTCACCCTTTTGTGCATTAGTTATTTTTCTGATAAGTCCTCATATTTTCCCCCAGGACTGCAGTTCTGTTACCTATGCTTCCTGCATAGCTGGGATTACAGATCTAAGTTACCACACCCAGTTTATTTGTTGAGATGCGGTCTTGCTAACTTTTTATCTGGGCAGTCTTGAACCGGGATCCTCCTGATTTCCACCTCCTAAGTAGCTGGGATTATAGCTGTGAGCCAATGAACCCAACACCATCTTATGCTTTTTAAAAGGTCCTATTTAAATGACTCTGCCTCACTGTTCTAACCAATTGGCTCTTTGCTGTTTTGCAAATGCATTCTGTTTATGTAGTTTTTAGAAAGAAAATCATGGAGGGTATTTTTGGATTTTGATTTTTAAGTTTTCTTATTAGTGAACTATTTATTCTAAGTCTTACTAATTTGGTGAAATGAATTGATCACTAATGACTTTCATATTATTTAAAGGAACTTTAAGGTAGTTGGGAAACCAACTTTACTACTTAGCTACACGATCACGAGTAAGTCACTTAACATCTCTGAATTTTCTTTCTATATAGTTTATTTATTTATTATGTTTTCTTTGAGACCAACTGACCTGGAACTTACTATGTAGCCCAGGCTGTGCTTGAACTTACAATGTTCCTGCTTCATTCCCCAGAGTTCTGGGATTATAGTTGTGAACTCCCATGCCTGACTGAATTTTCATTATTATATCTATTAAACAAAGCTTTAGAACAGATGAGTGTTTTGTTTTTAATTGGATTTTTTTTAAGAAACACATTGTCAAAATTTTACTTGTTAGTACCTGTACACAATCTGAGCATAATAGGTATTTACTTATCATTTGTTGATGACCAAATTAATTTTTAGAATTCATGCAGTAACAGATCAGCATCTTAAACTTAGAATACCAAATATCATTTCATGAGAAAAAGGACACTGGAATAAATAGTAAGAAGTTCTGGTGCTCTATCGTACAGTTGGTTAACCATAGATAACAATAACATACTGTGTATTTCAAAAAGCCAGAGGAAAGGATCTTGAATGTTTTATTAGTCTGTATGATGTCTGAGAGGTCTTTAAATGGTATGACAATTTTTGATGTGTTTAATCATTTTCTTTTTAAAGTCACATTTCTATATTTTATAAGCTGCTATAATAATTTTAGCAATTTATATGACAGATATTTATTGAGTTGCTACAGTGTGACAGGTGTTGGGGACACAAAGATTAGACATTATCCTACATTCCACGTCTCATATGAGTGGAAGAGACATGTAAATGCATAACTACTAGTGTAACTGTGCAACAGGAAAATGAATACCATGCTGCAGGAACATCGGGAAGGTGAGCTTGAAACTGAGCAGAGAGGATGCTATGAAAGAGGTTTTAGCCTTTTTAATGCTATAAAATCTGGGTTGTGTGTGTGTGTGTGTGTGTGTGTGTGTGTGTGTAGTAGAATAAAATCTCCCCACTGGCATTCTTTGGTAGGTACCTCTTACTATGTAAAATTTAAAATGCTTGGATTAAATTGGCAGAGAACAAGCTTTTAAATGATCTCAATTACAGTGATTTCCTTGTGTTAAGTACAAATGAACAAAAAGGTATTACCTGTTATTTGGTATAGACTTCAAAATTAAGAAAAAGTTTTAAAACAGTAATAGATATTTTTAAATTAACAGAAAGATGTATGCAACTGCAATATTTAATACCATGCATTTTAAAATGATATATATCCTGATTCATTTCCCAAAAGTAAGAATTGATAGTCCTTTAAATTTATCCACAATAAAAGGGAAACCTGCACCTCTGCTAATGTGAGGGACTATTTTATGATGTTAGTGCTATGTAACTTATACAAGTGAGTAACTGGTGTTTTGAATCCTTCAACTACAGAATTCCCTTAAAAATCTTTTACATAATATTCAAATGCTGAATCTTACACACAATTTACTTCAGTTGCAACAAGTCATTATTTGACTTAACTCACAGACAGTATCATTGGTATATTTTAACAATTTGATGTTCTCTTTCCCTTGGTAAGCACAGCTAATAAGGAAAATAGGAACTTGAAACTGTCACTCTTTATGTTTAAGTTTATGCTACATGTTTCTGTTATGGTAGGCGTGACATCTATTTGGTCATTTTAAGACAGTGATCCTTGAACTTCAACACACATGAGAATCATTCAGAGGGCTGGATAAAGCTAGCTGGGCCCTGATTCTTTCAAGTCTTGGATGGATCCAAGAATTTGCTTTTCTGGCACAGTCTCAATTGCTGTTGCTGGTTTAGGTACCACACTTTGGAAACCAATGCTTTCTGATTACTGCCTGTTTAGATTTCTCCACTGGTCTGAGGTTTCTCAGCCAGAGTCCAGTATGGATTCTTAGAAGACAAGAACAGGTTATTCCAATTGGCCCCAAACTAAAGTCACATTTCTGTTGATTTCTAAGTTCTGCCATCACAACCTTATTTATCAAAGATCATCAGATTTGTCCTCCTTTAATGTTTTCTACTGTCAAGTTTCAAAGGAATACGTTTGAAGAAGAGTTCAGACTAAGGAGAGAACAAAGCTTTCCCCAAGCTATTTGTAACACACTACACACACACACACACACACACACACACACACACACAAACACATTCTATAATGACTGGGAGACTACAATATATACATATATATATATATATATATATATACATATATATATATATATATATATATATATATAGGTTGACAGTTAAGAGTCTTCTGCCCAATGTAAGTTAAGATATTGATAGCATGTGAGCTAGGAGAAACTAAATACTGGCCTCTGGACACCCTGAATTGTACACAGTTCTTATTTCAGAATAAGGATACATTAGGTTTTAACTTGTCCTTCACAGAATTACTGAATTAAAGAACTATTCTAAAGTATTGATAAATAATTTATGGAAATGGGTAATCCTTTTTGGTGCAATGAAGCAAAAATTCTAAGAGTAAAGGGAGCAAAATCAGGTCAGGAATATATTTAACATTATTTTACAAAGAACAGTGTTCTCAAATAGTGATGATTCTGACAAAATCAGCAGAATAACTTCCGGCAAAAATAGTAACTAGTATATGAAACACACACACACCCCTACCTTTAAGCAATTTGAGAGAATAGAGAGGCAGAAATTAGCCTAAGGAAGAGTTTATGTTTTCAACAACACCCTCAAGTAAAACATGAGCTTTGTATCTGATGATGTGAAATATGTTTTTATTCTTATGTAATTAGTTTCCAGATAAATCTAAGGTATGTGAATTAAAAAAATATTATCAAGGTTCCTTTCAAATGAGGAAAATAAATCAATGTCTATAAGCTTGCTTTTACAAATATTAAAATTTTAAGTCTTCCTCCCAACACATTTTTTCAGTATTACTGAGTAGCTGAAATGAAATCCTTAGTGGCAAATGAAATCCTTCAGTTTTAAAATATTCCAAAATAATAATTATGTTAAAAGTAAAAGTCCTTTAGTTTGTACTGTAAAACTCTTGTGACTTTACTTATGAAATCACTTTATAAACCTCTCACCATGATATGTGCTAATGGAGTTACCTGTCTGCATCCACTGTCACATCATGAACGCCTCTCTGGACAACATCCCTGGAAGATGCTGTGTCGGGGACTCGGTTTAGACTTCTAGTATATAGGTTGAGCCCTCCGTCTGTCATATACCTGAAAAGAAACGTCTAATTAATCAACAGAAAATTAAATGACATCATTTGTATGATTTACCTTAGTGAATTTCATAATTCTTCAGGGGCCGGCAGAGCAGCTCAAGAGTAGAGCACCTACCTAGCTAGAGGGAAGCCCTGAGTTCAAACCCCTGCACTGCCAAAAAAAATTACTTGGAATAAACCCTATGAGTATTTTTTTTCTGTATAAACATTATATTAGTTAGGAAGAAGTAAAATTTCTTTTCAATTTCGTTAGGAAATCAATATTTCTTAACGTAACAAGAACCTAGCCCATTATAAAACCCAGTTTTCACTTGTCACCAATATTCTGAACAATCTTATAGTTAACTTTTACTAAATAAAAGCAAAATAACTTCATTTTCCTATGTCATTTTGAAAGGCTGAAGGTAATAGAATGAATGGGACATTACTGAACTTTAATGTATTCATTAAGAGAATTATGCTACAATTGGTCACTATCATAAAATAATAAGCAAGATGAACTAAATGTTCGATGTTTTGCCAGGACCTATTCTAAATACTTCATGTGTAAAAAGATTATTATCTCCATTTTAGAGATGAGGAATGTAAGTGCTCAAATGTTGAGTACACATGGTCACTCAACCAACCACAGCAGAGCTGAGAAATGATCTAGAAAGTTGGCTCCAGAAACCATGATGGTAACCACCATATCTGAGCTGAAGGGCAACACTATCCTTTCTACTTCCTGTCTTTAAGATCTCCTTGCCATCACCCAACCCATTTACATAGGAGATGGCAGTTCCTGATAGCCAGAATCTTATCAAGTAATATTTTACTGGCTATTAAGATTAAATCAGGTGTCTAATCTCCTACCCTCTTCTGGGCTAATGCAGTTTTTCCCTCTTGAGAATTGGGATTAAGAGATAGTTCATCAGTCCCTTTATGAGGATAAGAATTAAAATTCAGGTGTCCTGGGTATCTATCTTTCACCAAATGCAAAAATTCACCAAAAAAGCTGAGCAGCAAAGTACTATGCACATATCATATTCTCTTTAGGTAGGTACCTATATTCAAAGTTAATATTTCTAGGTCATGACACTCTGCTTTCTCTAGAACGAAATATTAAAGTGCTTCCTGTGCACAGATATACAAATTTCCCATAACCACCTCAGACTACCATAAAATTGATGATTAAGCACCTCCAGTGTTCCCAGGACCATATTTTTATTTTAGATTTTATTGTCATATATTAATTATGCATGGCAAGGAGTTTCATCATGATTTCCACACATTGTATATATTGCATATTGATCATCTTCACCCTCTAAGAAAGAGTAATAAAAATTGCTACACGCTATCTGTGCAACTAAAACTCTTGCTACTTTTGTACATGCTAATGTATTCCAGAAAAACACAGGCTCCACCCAGTTATCAGTCTGGATAACAATGTCTTCTTCACTCTCTACCTCCAAACAGTAAGAGACAGAATATGTTCAAACGTGACCCTGCATCACTACACTCTCTTTCTAGAATCCACTGAAAGAAAACTTCAACTTAAATAGAATTTGGCTTGATCCATTTTCTCAATCATCTAATGACAGCCAACTCTACTACCATCACAGCAGTGCTATATATTTTTTAAAAATTTTTGTAGTGAAATATATCATACTTATGCAAGAATATATAATCTATAAAAGTAGACAAAAACTAAAATAACACCAACTATCCTGTACCTTTTACCTGACTTCAAAAATAGAACATTTCTATTATCTGCAATGTCTCTATACTCCCAATCTGCCCCAACACACCCTTCAGAAGTATTCACTGTCCTGGATTCTTTTTCATTTCTTTGTGGTTTTATCACATGGGTATGTATCTTGTAAAATATACTGTTTTGTATCATGTGGTTCTTCACTTTATATAAACTGAGTATCAAGATATGAAATCTTTGTGACTTCCTTCTTTCACTCAAAACTATATTTTTAAAGTCATCTGTCTTAATGTATATAATTGTGTTACTCATTTTAGAGCTATATAGCTCCATTTTACAACTGTACTGTAGTTTTTAATTCACTCGGTTATCATGAACATTTGAGTTGTTTTCATTCTTTTTTGTTGTTTCAAACAGTGATGGCATAAACAGTTATGTACCTTTGTATGTGCTCATAGGCAAAAGCTTATCCAAGGTCTATATTTGAGAGAGGTAAATCATAAAAACATGAGCATATTCAATTTTACTAGTCAATGCCAAACAGGTTTCAAGTAGTTCTGCCACATAAACTTCAACATGCTTATAGATGGGAATGTTCATTGAGAGTTTTGACAATATTTGGTATTTTTATATAAACTTATGGATGCAAAATGGCATCTAATTCTGGTTTTAATTGATAAATTCCTCATGTGGATACTTTGTTATTGACCACTGATGTTTTGTCTGTGAAATGTCTGTCAATGTGTTTTGCTTATTTTCTATTAGCTCCTTTTTTGTATTTTTGCATTTGTATTTATTTATTGTTTCTTTCCTCACTGATACTAACCCTTTTCTATCTATCTATCTCTATATAAAACTAGAAAAATATGTGAGCTATCTACATGTATATAGTGTATCTCACATATTTTGGCTTATATGGGGTTTAATCTTGATAGTTTGGTCTCACTCATTTGTATGTGATATTAATTATTCTGAATAAAAAGAAGCTTGATTTAAATAGATTTCTAACTTCACCTAGCAACTACTTTTGTTATTTTTCTATAGTTTAAAACTTGGGTAATTTGCTTTTTGAGATTTCTGTCACTTTTATCAACAACAGCTCTACTTTTGCTTCTATTTCCACATCCTGCTCAATTTGTTTCACCTCACCCATATCTTTCCTTCTCTGAGAGGCCCTGTTCTGGAAGAGAACAGTGGTCATTTAAATAGATCATAGGGACTGACTTTCTGTTCAAACACTCAGAACCCTAGGCCCTTTCACTCACTGGTTAGTCAAGTGGTCCAAACCCCTCCCAGCTTTAGGTAATTTGTGTGTTATCTATTCAGTATCAATTGCCTATTTGGCATTCTTCTCTCCTTAGTATTATCAGATGGCCCACTGTGGGCCAGGCACAATGGCACACACCTGTAATCACTGTTACTGTCAGGAGGCAGAAATCAGGATGATCGTTATTCAATGCCAACCTGGGCAAAAAGTTAGTGAGACTGTATCTCCACAAGCTGCACTTGGTGGTACATGCCTACAATCCCAGCTATTTGGGAGGCACAGGTAGGAGGCCAGCCCCAGACAAAAAAGTGCAACCCTATCTGAAAAATAACTACAGCAAAAAAGGATGAGGGAGTAGTTCAAATGGTAGAGCACTTGCCTAAAAAGTGCAGGGCCCTGAGTTCAAACTCCAGTGCTGCTGTGGAGGGAAGGAGGAAGCATCAATTTTACTGCCTGTTTCTTCTCACAGGAGTGTTAATTCTGTGCTAGTCCTTTGACTCTTTGCTCTTTACTTCCAATGCTTATGTTTGGGAGATGGGGCAACTTTTTTTATCAACTTTTAAAAATTTAAGTATGTAATTTTGAGGTGTTTTATTTTAAAGGGGGACTTGGAAAGATTTAATATTAGGCTTCCACTTTACCTTCCAGCATACACTTCTACTGCATTTGCCATCTTCCTAGAATTCTGTTTTTATAGCTGATGTAGCATTTCAGCTACTGGAGGTCACTATTACTTATCTTTTAACCATATGCACACTAAGAGAATTTAGTGATTCTCTTTTCCACCCTACAAAGGAACTCCAGTTTATCATCTTACTTTTGAGGAGCACAAGTAACTTGAGGAATTCCCCCTAGATTAAAATGTGTTATACAAGAAAACTATGGTCAACTGCTTCAAGCCATTTTTACAAATGTATGAAAAAACACAAGTGTTTAGGAAAGAAACCTGTGCATGCAGGCATGTGGCAATCTCATAGGGTGAACATGCACACTGAAGTCAGACCGCTCACGTTCAAGTCCAGTCCCATTTCTTACTATTTATATGGGCTCAGGCAAATCATTTAAATTATCTATGACTCAATTGCTTCAATTGTGAAAAGGAGATAGTAGTGATAGACTTACTTCTTCTGGTTATGGTGAGAGATAAAAAATATGTATATTTATATAATAGAGCATTGTCTACCCTGTAAATGTTGATAAATATTGCCAGCTATTCTTTTTACTGAAATTTCTGTATTCATATATTCCTTAAGAATGGCTTGTATGCTGAATATGAAATTAGAATAAAGAGAAAGAATTAAGATTAAGAACCTGTGGTTCAAAATGTAGGTACTTTTAACCCAGCTCAGGCACTCTGACCTTTCCCACTGTTACACATAGCTCCATTATTCAAAGCTTGCTAAAGGAGAATTTGGAGAGGATCAAGGCAGAAGTAGGACTAAAGTATATCCCTCTTCTTATTTTTAAATTGCACTCCTCAGAATTCTTAGATTATTTTAAGTTTGGAACATGTGATTGAAGTAAAATTTTGATTTTAGGTCCTATGCTTGGCCCAACTACTTACCACTTAGGCACCTAAAGATCATTTTAATTTTCACCCACTTAAAATATGTAGCTTTTCTCCTAATTTTCTAGAGTGTTCCTTTTCTGCTTCATAAATGGAGACTTTTTCAGATTCATTATAAAAGGCCTTCCTCTAATTCCTAATTACTGACAGATTCACATTCCCAAGTGTGCAAAGTAATTTCGAAAACATAAGAAAAAGATAAGCCTTTGCATGCTCCAAGAAATTTTGAATTCTCAAAATGCCGATTAAGTAATTTTCTGATTTCTATCTGGAGTACATGAAAAAATGAAAATTCATTCCCATTTGCATCGACTTCACGATACTCCTTGTGGAGACATGAGAAAAAATCCTAAATTAAACATCTTCATTCATTACGTTCCTATTGAAGCTGTTCCTTTAATCAGTACAACATACGTGGAGACTCTGTGAAGAGAAAGTGAACTTCATGATTAATATTTAATGAGTTGTAGCATAGATATTTCTAAGTCCTTTCTCTTGACTCAAAGAAAACACCATCAGATTAAATTTTCCTGGAATACCTCTGGCCCTCTCATCTCCCTATGTTTAAAATCTATGCTGAGACATGAAGCTGCCTTTTACGGATGATAAGAATGGCACACTGCATACACTGGTGAGTAAGCTTAGCACGTCTTGTGGTTCCACCATACAGTGTTCTCCACCATTGAGACCAACCACATCTCCTGTGGACCATGTTTAGCTATCTCCATACAGGGAAGAGAACTGTGTCAATTTCAGTCCCTTGACTCTATCATAGGAAAACAGGAAAAAAATATATGCAAGTAAACGTTTCAGAAGTCTGTCTACAGAATCTGGGGTATTTTTCTTGGCCAACATAAGGCACATAGACCATTGGTGCACATTTAAATAGACTCATTTCTGAGACTGTGTAAAAAATATGAAAAGGAACAAATATGAAGACCAGAAGTCTATGTCAGATTTCAAATGAAGCATAAAGCAAGTAAAGAAAGAAAAAGGATCTAAAAACATTTTTTCTCTCAATACTGAATTTAGCAGAAACTATCTGGCTGTCATAAAACCAGTTTCCTTCTCCTCTTGGGCATACAGTTGAGCCATATTTTCTTGTCTTTCTTACAGTTAGATGTGACCAGGCACTTATTCAAAGAAATATGGGTAGAATTCATCTAAAATTTTCAGGCCTGGTGAATTCAAAATATTCTCCCATCATGGTTCTTCTTATCTTTTGCCATTTTCCTGATGAATTATCTATACCAAGGTGGTTTAGATATGCCTGATTGGATAGCGGCAGAATTACTGTCTGTCTTACTCTCTAAATGAATGCCTGGTGTACATTCCCCAACTGAAGATTGAAAGCACCAGGGAGGGTTTTACATGGAGGAGAAATGAGCTGTTTTGTCTTATGTTACAGAGATTTTGAGTTTTCTATGTTACAGAAATTTGTGTTAATTAATATAACTGGCATCCTGAAAAATACACAATGTTCCTAAGTGTAGGTATGTATGTAATTTATATTATTATATGCAGAACTCAGTCATTAAAAAAAGTCTTTCAAGCAACTCCTTATCTAAAAATACTTGTATATACATGTATATATATATTTGCAGATAATGTTTCTATATTGTTCACCAATGCATAGTGCTCAGAATGTTGCTATTGGTTAAATAAGATAAACTCAACAAATACTTTTGTAATATATACATACATACAGAAATGTATAACTTATTTTTATAGCCCATTCTCTTTCTGCATTCTTTTCTCAGGAGTCCTTAAGCCTCCCACAATTTTAGCTGTCTTCTATTGACATGAGATATACGATTCTCTATCCTGAATATTATGTTTGTTTTTCCCACAAACAACCTCTATATCCCACTGTCTCCAATTCTATATTTCTAACTCTACACTTATCATTTCTTCCCCTCACCAAAACCTTAGCACCCTCTCATGTCCTACCTTCTTTATTCATATACTTTTCAATCTCCCGTGTTTATAAACTGGAAGAACACTTTGTCTGAATTCATTACCAATCATAAATCCTCGTGGCAATCCACCATTTCTGTACATTTGTTCTTTTATAGTGCTTCTGCTGCATCACTTATTTTCCTCTTATCCCCACCAATGCTGCTACCATATTTCTGGCCTTCTGACCTTGAACCTGAGCTCTTGCGGTATTTCCTGAAATCTAGCCCTAGAGGCTCTCTTCTCAATCCATTTTGCAAGCTTCCCCTAACTGGGTCTTTCAAAATCCATCAATATCTTTTTGACCTGTTCAGTGACTATTTTTAATCTCTAAGAAGTGGTAGTTTCTGCCACCTGTAGTACACAGGTTAAACTTCTTAGTGTAATGAATCTGAGACCTGTCACAATAGTCCCTATCTCTCAAATCTTATCGTTAAATATTCACCTCCCCTGTCTCTCACTTAAGAGAAAGACTATTAAGTGCCATTTAACCCAATGTCCCTCTGATTCTGAAAATAATATTTTAGGCAAGCTTACTGAATGGTTTGTGCTTTCCATATTTATACTCTTCTTAAAAATTGTGTCTTTTCATGTGTCTCTCTCACCTGCAGCTATTTAAATCAGGAAACAGAACTAAAATAATTTCTGTTCTTATTCACTTCATTCTATTTTATATCAGAGTTTAGCATTTTCTCCTTTTTTGAACTCTTAGCTCAATTTTTATCTCCGTGAACCTTTTAAAATTACCTACAACTTTATTGTGGTTGTCCCTTGGTTTCTGATTTAAACTACTCTCAAGATATACTGTCACTACCACCAGGAAGCATTTTACACAGTGTAAATAAATATAATCAATCCATATCATTCACAAATTCCATATTTGTAATTCTGTCATTGCTAAAGTCATTGATAGCCCCAAGTCAATACTGGCAGTACTTCCACAGACATTCACAGCACGTACAGAAAAGTGATATAGTTATGTCTCAGAGGTTTGCAGCTGAAGCAAACAAGGTGACATTCTGCCTGCTTGTTTTAGCTTTCATACCATAAAAAAGTGTACTATTCATGGTTTATTTAGTGCTAACTTTGCACACTTTTATACTTTCTGTTAGAGATTCTGCTATTTAAAATATTTCCAGGTGTGGCACTGAGGTGTTATCTTGTGTTCCTAAGCTATGATGTATCTTGCAGGGGAAAAGTGATAGATAAATGTCATTCAGGCATTTGTTATAATGTTATTATAATGCTACTGCTTTGCATATACATACAAATGTTTCTGCACATACAATATGTGTATCTATATGTGATTATTTTTTCCAATGTATTTGAAGACTGAATATAAAAATGAACACACATATGCCCTCATTTAAAGTAAAGGAGGGAGGGTGGGAAGAATGGATAATAAAGACAGGAAAGATGGGGGAAGGCCTAAGCTTTAGATATTTTTATGTTGCCATCATGCTCTTTGTCCTATGCTATGTTAAATGCATACCTATATGATAATGATAACCAACAGCCCCACAAACTTGTATGATATTAATTATAAGTATAATGACAATCAGGAGGAGGCTGATTGAAGGTACATAATTGAAGAATGCTACAAAATACTTCCTCAAAGTAGTTACAGGCAGCCTGAGCCAGCAAAACCCTCCTGTTTCCTTCCCACTTCCTTTTCTATAAAATTCTATAAAATCTGTTACTCAAGAGCATATGAAATTTATTCTGAAAAACACAGCCCACATGTGGTTCTTTAAACCAGAGACAGAAAAATTTAATGCTTTATAATGCAAATTATCTATAGAAACTGTGGACATTTTACTTTCCATGAATGAGCTGAGGAGAGGCCCTAAAACAGCCCAAGTAACCTCATATTACTCACATTTTCTGATGACTTTGTAGGTGAACTTGCATTTCTTTTCACACCTAATACACCCTCATAAAATACCTGCCCTCCTCCCACAATGCTATTGACACCAGGGCCACTTACCCACTGTTGATGTCATCAGTCCTGAGACTTTTCCCAAGGATATCACCATCACTCATGTATCCCCCAACATCTACGTCAGAAGACATGTCTAGGTCACTGCTTGCTTTCTCACTCATGTCAATTTGTGACATGTTCCCCAGGCGAGAGACAGCAGCTCTACGGAGAGGTGTTGTGTACATGAACCTTGAGGGGTCTGTGTGGATGAATCGACTGGTACCACTGCGAGGGTAGCCAGCACCCATGGAGGGAGCATCTCCTGCCTGCAGTCGAGGACACGCCTGACCCAGCCTCCAGGTCATGGGAGTGGGTCGACTTGTCAAGTTGGGTATGGTCCTTCCATTCACTTCTGTGGTCACAGTGCTGTCAAATGTTGTCTCTAGGGTGCTGTCAAATAAAATGTAGAGATAACTGTATTTTTGTTCACTAGGGCCACAGGCAAAAATGCATGAAAACAGGAAAGGATGGAGCTCAGAGTCATTCCCTAGAAGCATACACTTTCACAAATGCTACACTACTGCATAGCTTAATTTTGTGATTCTAATTGCTTCTACAGATGTCAACATGTGGGAAAGATCAGACATTCACAGTTGTTCTTTGTTTTCAAAAGAAAGGCCATTGTTACATTTTGGATAAAACAAAATGCTGTTTCACTTAAGAAAAAACACCTTAATCCACTGTTCTTTTCAGATCCATTCTGGAAGTTAACCACAATCATGCTTGACTGTCTCCCTGCCATTCCTCCACAAGTGCTCTAGGACAGGCAAGGAAACTGTCGGAGAAGCAACAGTGGTATTTGCCACGGCTAATTCAGTTTGACCAGAATACCATATGGAAGAAGAGATGGTGAGGGGGAAAAAGTTCCTGAGAATTTTCAGTTTAAGGATAATCACTAGTTAATCGGCATGTAAAATTTAAGTGAGAAAATAATAAAGGATAACTGAAATTTCTTCTCTACCATTATAAGAGAAGTAAAATACAAACTGTAATTTTTTTTCTTCATTGGTCCAAAGATATGCAGAATTGGGAAAAACCTGTGGCTTATCTGGGTCCCACGAAGACTGGACATAGTCTCTTCTAAATTCTGCCTCAGATCTGCTATGTTTTTAACTGTTCGCATTCTTCTTGTTTCAGGGTCTTCACCTAGAAAAGGAGCAAAATAATAAGTTGGTTATTCATGCATTTACCCTTCTCAGTATATATATATATATATATATGAATAATATAAACTCCTCTTCCTAGAAGTAAAACTTTAGAACATTCCAAATAACTATAACTATCATTATTTGAATATTATAATTCTTTTTTCTATGAATAAAATGTGAATAGGAATAAATATCACAAGTAGTAATTCTGAAGTGGTAGAGACACAATAACACTTGTAGGTCTGTCACCCTAATCATTACAAAATTAGAGTCACATAGAAATATGCTATATAGTGCTCCATGTCACTAAACTTAATTTTAAAATCAAAGATTATTTGAATCTTAATTATTTCCCAGAATAGTTGGGATAAATTTCCTTATGTAGCAAGTATACATTTAGATTTGGGAGAATAAGTGAAAGGCTTTTTCTCATAAAAGCAATAGTTTTTTTGAGTCTTATTACACTCATGGACTAAGTGTGACAACATTGGATGACTTTACTTTTAATTTCTTCTCCACTTTCTCCAGGCAACTAAAACATCAACACTAGTGACACTAGAGTTTAAGTAATGTCATAGACATCTATACTCAAAAATGTTTGTGTCTACTGACTACTGGGCGTGAAAAAAAAATAGATCTGCCATTGTGGCAAATGCTGGCCTTATAGAACATCACTTGCTATTCAGGGTGAGAATTACCAATAAGCCATTTTTTTATAGCCATATAATACTTCCCAGGCTAGTGGCTATTTGAAGCTGGTGGGTTTCTTCCAATAGGAAAAATGGACAGAGGGTAGAAGAAGATGACTGTTTATTCTCTTCAATTTGGGCTTTGGGGATAAGGAAATTTTTTAGGAGGAAAAAAACAGGTTATGAAGAAAGGAAGGGAGAGGAGGTTGTAAGTGAAGGAAGGAAAAAAGGAAGGAATTGGAACAGATACATTAAGAGGAGGGAAGGGAAGAAAAGAAAAAGAAAGGAAAGAAAAGAAGGCCAGAAGGAGATGGTAGGTAAAGGAATGGAATCAAAAGAGGATAGAAAGAAAGGAAAAAGAGAACAAAAAGAAAAGAGAAGCAGGAAAGTAGCGTGTATTAAATTGCATTGTGAAAACTGTCACAGAGACAAGTCAAAATGCATATGTACAATCTGTTTTCACTTTCTAGGTAGCAATTCGACTTGCTAATTTACTTCCTTAGCATTCAGGCCATACTTTAAAAAGTATATAACAAATGTGCTGATTTAACATACATAATCACAATCATAGAGTTGGTGAGGAATTCAGAGACTCTATCATGTTACCTGTTAGAAACAGAACACACCCGTGTCTCATATGGTACATGACTACCTGCTTCTGTATAAAACTTTCAACCCTGAAAAGGTCTTCACCTCTCTTTCCAATATTAGATGCGACTGATTAGGCAAACATTTATGGGGAATGAGAAATAATTTATTTCTTTTTAGTTTCCATCCAGTAGCACCAAGGGCTATGAAACCAACTGAACAAATTCAAACTATCTTTATCAGGCAGACACTCACACCATGGAAAGGTAACTGCTATTTTTTTTTATTATCTTTTTTTATCCAAACATTACTACTTTGCTCATTATTTTTCATCCTGGATATTTGCCACCATTCTACTGCCAGTCTATAATTCTGTTCCCTTTAATTTACAAGCTGTTTGAACAATTAAAATATGCTTCATAATAGTATTATTATTTTCTAACTGAGGAAGCACTGAGTAACTTCTTTAAACATTATTTAAGAAATAAATACATGTTGGAACCTCATGCACATGGCATAAACTTTTTCTACACAAATTCAAACCATGAAAACTCTTAATCCCATAGATTAATATTCTTTCAGAACTCAGAACGGTTAATAACCCTTGAGATTCTAGTCATACCCTCTCTGGAAATTTTTTCTATGCTTCTGATTAATACAATACCTTGTGTTTGAGAAATGGCCCTTAGGAAGTGTACCTTTCACTTTCAAATAATCTGGTAGAATTTTGAAGGGAGGTTTTGTAGGGGAGGATATTAAGAGGTCTGAAAAGAATATAATCAAAAGATAAGCAAATCAACAAAATGGCTTCTATGGAGTTAAAAATAATGAGAAGGAGAAACACTAAACCCAGTTCAGAACAGAACATTTCATAAAACATAGAAGCCTTAGATTCCAGGTGTTTGTAAGAAACAAGAATCCGGAAAGTCTCGAGATGACTGTCTTTGGAGGCAGGGCAAATGCTAATCACTGACCTTAGATAAGTTCATAGGAAACACCATTACATGTCCCTTATTCCTGACCCCTTCCCACTGGGAGAATACTTAGATGCAATTAGGCTGTGTCTTAACTGCTTGCCAACTGTCATAATATCAAAAGTGATGCTTGAATTGTTTTCAATGGGATTTAAATATCAATTTTAAGCATATTTTATTTTTAGAGATTCTGTTTTGCAGACATTATTTACATCTACTTCTCTACCTTTTAAATTTCATTTTCCCAACCTAACAGGCATCTTAGGTCCTTCAGTTCTCCCAGATGAACTTAGTACTGGTTTATATAGTTTCTGTCATGTTTCAGAACCACAGCCTTCCTCTCTCCTTTGATTTTCTCATCATGATTTGTACCACTCATGACAATCAGACAAATGGACCTTTCCTCCCAACACTTACTGAGGAAACCATAATTGCTGACTTATTCATGTCATGAAAGACAATAATCAAACAAAATTCATGACAGTAAATGTTTTCAACAACCCACAGAAGGCAAGATAAAAACTAAGTGTACTTATAAAGCCCTTCAGGATTGATTGCACAGTCTGAAATGTCCTGTAAATTTGTATTTAAATGATGTCTAGAGAGAGACTTTAGGGTAAAAATGGAAAAGGCCACACATGAAAGCATACATAAAATTACATGTTAGGAAATTAAATAAACGTTAACAGAACAACACACATGAGAAATTTATTTATATAATACAAAAACACTATATCTCTTTTCAGTCACATAATCTCAAAGTCAACTATTATTCCTAAAGGAGACTTCCAATGTGTGTCAGAGACAAAGATAAGGGTTCTCATACATTTTCCAGAGTGGTGTATTCTGTAACCTACTTGAATTAACATTGGCACAAACTGCTTTCTCATTGTTTACTGAATAACAGATTCAATTTGGCATTTCTGCATTATTACTTGGTGGCAACAGACTATTTAATTTGTGTGATCCACCCTTACTTTTTAAGGCTTTAATTATATACATTGTAATTAACATTGCCAGTACTGTCATCTTCTAGTAGAAATCAAATTATACATGAATGAACCTGATTCAGAGAATTATACCTTCTATACCATCCATATTATGTATTCTATCATTTAACAAACAGCAGCCTAAATTATTTGCAGAAATAACCCTGATTTGAGTACCCTCAACAATGATTTAAAAAGAAATTTAAACTCATCTATATAATCCTGACATTTTGTAGAGGAAAAAACCCAGCAAAATATGGTGAATAGCTTATTAGCTACATTTAAATATTCTCACACAGAGTTATAGCACAGACCCTAGTTTGTGTAATGTATTAGGATATCTAAGAGTAAAAAAGTTGAAGTAAAAGAACTGAGCCAAAAAACTAACTTAGAAGAGGCCATTTTGAGTCCTGAGCAGAACCTACTCAAGCACGTGGCAGAAATTCTGAAATTCCTATGTGCTGTGAACTTGGATATATTCATCACCTTAGTACATCATTATATAGAAAATTTCATTAGAATGCTCAGTTATCTGGAGATATGATTATTTCAGAGCTATTTGAACAAACTCTTCCTTTACTTTTCACTTGCATTTGTGAGTACTGCCACCAGTGTAGAGGGTAGGGGGAATTCTTAAGAAGAATAATCATGTACATACAATAAGCAGATGATCTGTTTAAACACCATGACATACAGACTTCGTCTGGGAGGCTAGCCTCTGGCAGTAATGATCCAAGTTATTTATGAACAAAAATAAATGCTTTGTATATATAACCGCCCACAGCATACTATAATTTAACAGAGCAACCAACAAATACTGCCAAGGGACTGCACTCAGTTCATATCCTTGATAATGCTTACATAAAAGGTACTTAGAACAAGATAAATGCTACCATTTTAAAAGCCAAAGATGAATGTGATCTGATGCTACAGTTCTGGGAGATCAAAAAAATAGAAAGAGATTCATAAGGATTAAGACTTCCCCTAGCCTTTGTACTGCACAGAGCTCTTTTATGAGAAGCAGTTTATCACAGAAAGCACACAATGGTGGAGAAGTAAATTTTTGCTGTCTGAATACCTAGTATATTCAGATTCAGAAATCACTATTCTGACAACTATGGAAACATCACTCTTTGAAAGCCAAACTGACATGAAAAACAGAGCCATATTTGCCTCTGCTGTCTCTCTAAGCTTTCCTTTTCCAAGCCTGGGTCACTAAAGCATTCTATACAACCTTACAAAACATCTTGCAACAGGAGGGCTTATATAAAGATAAGAACAAATCTGTTTGTGTGAATAGAAACAAAGAAATCACTGGCCAGGTTGAATTCTTTAGAATTTAAGAAGCCCTATACTAAATCCTTTGTGAAATTACATTGACATAAAATATGATGTGCTTAATGGTTTAATACTTAGAGATTTTATTTAAAAAAGGGACTATATGATGTAAATATATTGTGGTATAGTACAAAACTTAGAAATACCAATTAAAATGTATATACCCTGGGTGTTTTAGGTAAGTGGCAAAGTTGACCTTTGAGGTTTAGTCACTTGACATCTTCATATCCAGTTAAAGATTGTATCACAAGTTACTGCTAAAACTCATGCCATTAAAAGGCCTAGTATAAAGTATGAAAACAGTTCATAGTTATCCATATAGTTTAGAGTTATAATGTACACATGAAAGAGCATTTTTTGCTAAATACACACACACACAGGTACAAGGCAGCAAAGGCCTCTGCATTTGTGAAAGTGTTA